CACTATGTTACCAGAGTTCCATATATATATGGGCTTCAAAAAGTTTATGGGAAAATTCCATTATCTTTCAATTCCATTTTCCCACAAGCTTTTTGAAGCCCCCTCATGTGTATATATGTGTGTGCGTACCTGTTGAATGAATGAATAAATAATAAAATGAGGAACCCCTTAGAAAATAAATACTATTAAACACCCCAGAAATCTTGATATCAGATCCAAACAGGCCCAGCTTTCTTGAAAACCAAAAGTCACACCTTTCCCTTTGGGGAAATACACCCCAAGTCATTCCCACACAAGGACCTCCCTTCATCCACGTTGTTGTCTATCATTAACCTCAGCAGTTCTATCACCACCCACCTTTCTCTCTGGAAATGGCCCAGCGCTCCTAGTCAGGAAACCGGAACTCCATCTTGGAGCTGGTCCCAAGGTCATGGACTCACCACTTGAAGGGCGGGTGGAGGGGCTCTGACACCCTCTGGGTCTACTCCACCTCTGGCCCCAAGCCCTGACCTTCAGGAAAACAATAGCAGGAAGAGTCCAGGAGCCTCGGAGGTCTGACACTGTGCCAGGGGTGGAACCCTACCTTTCCCAAGCCACTGATACCTGGCCAGCTTATGACTCCAGACAGTGAGGGGACTGTGGGTGGTACCCGGATCTGGGGACACTTTGGGGAAAGACATTCTCCTCCCCACTTGGAAGTCAAACAGAACTGCCTGGCTTCAAATCTTGACTCTCACATTTATATTTCTGAAGGCCACACGGATACCACTTAATTTCTCTGAGCCTCAGTGTCTACAGCTGTCAAAATAGATCCCGCAGTTTCTTCTTTAAGAACATTGCTGGGCATTTTGTTCTCAGATATTATGTCTGGCATCATCCACCCACCCTGACTTCCTTCAATCCCTCAGAATGAGCCTGTTATTCATAAGGGGGAAATCCAACCAATCATGCTCGGTGACTTACCCCAACAATTTGAGTTTACCATTGTTTTGATTCTGAACCATTCAAAGTGACTCACATTTACTTTTATCTTTTATGGCCAAGCTGATTCCTAAATTTGGCTTATGATATACACATCAAGCATTCAATACATATTTTTCAATGAATGAAAATGTTTATTTGCCTATGTCTGTAATGATGAGCTACGTTTATATTGAGCCTACTCTTCAAGTCTAATATACTAAATTCTCTTTATTCAAAATCAGTGTATATTGCCAGACCCCAATCCATTTTGTGCTTTGAAAGTGCAGACAAGTGACAAGAAAAGAAATCTACATCATTGTAAGGTTAAAGATTTTGACATTCAAGTTTCCTTCTGATATAGGTCCTGGGAAAAATGAGCAACTGAAATTTTAAATCTCATTTCTTTGAGAGATTATCTGTCAGTTCCCCCATGGTTTATACTTTCAGTAAGCAAAGAACTTTTTAATAGAACAATTCGTCAGGGGAGAGAGGGAACAGGCATAAAACAACTTCATTCCATATGTAGGCTGTCACCAAATTTTACAAGGAAATTCAGCAGAAGCATTCCTCCTTGCTTCATAAACACCAAACAAGGAAACATATTACCTAAAACTGAGATTTGGCAAAGGAATGTGAGGAAATCTATCAGTTCTCTGCTATTGGGCTGGTTCCAAGTGATTGTGTGGTTGGTGGCCTAGCTGTGTAAATCCTACCTCAGGCTGCACCGCAATCAGTTTCTTAGAGCTCATTCATGCTCCTCCACCAAGGCAGCAGCATCTCAGAGCAAGAGCAGGCTCTGTCTCCCACACCATCCAGGCACTTTCCAGTCGAAGAAAACATGCCTACTGCAGCAAACTCAAAGAAAGGAAAGCTAAGAGGCAGCTATTCCCTTTGTAAAATGGCCCAAAGGTTTCTTTAGAATGGGATTTCATTTAAGAAAATATGCCTGGCACACATTTTGGCAATGCCCTTGATTAGGCAAAACATGGGACGCCTGAACAAGAGGCAGAATAAGGTGGTGTGCTTACCAAATATAGAAAGGTGCAAGAGTAAGGATCCAAAGTCAGAAGGTGGGCCCTACTCCCAGCTGAGTCACTAACAAGCCATGTGAGAGAACAAGTCATTTAACGTCTTTGGCATTCATTTCCTCACCTGTAGATGGAGATTCATTAATAAAAGTAGGCATTATCTAGTCCCCAGAGTTACTAGGACAATCAAATGGATGTGAAAGCTGCTGGAAGATATAAAGGCACATCCCAAAGTCAGAGTACCCTAGTAGCACACGTGTACATATATGTGCAAAGAAGACCTGCATCCACTCTTGCTCAAACTGAATGTATTTCCTCTTACTAATAAAGAGAATTGCTATGCAAAAGATGTTTTTGAGTCAGCATGCACATACAGCTTTCGGAGAATAGTTAATGCTGCCTTTAAGGATTTGAGATGCATTCCATCACAGCCTGCTCTCTTTGGGTGCCCTAGGACAGCAACACAAACACCCACCTGTGTGCATGCCTCCCTCCACAAGCTCTGCAGGGGATTAAGCCCTAAGCCTATTATTTTATGTTTACCAGACTCTAACAATATGCTAGGAGTGTCCAGAACACTAAATACATTGTGAACAGGTAATAGGAACCACCAACCCACAGGACAACAGGTGTCACCCAGGTGTGAGAAATGTGGCAGGGGCTACAGGTCACCTTCCCAGGTACTTAGAGGCACTCCCTTCTACACCCTTTAAAGTCTGGGTAAGTGCTTCCAACACCTTGTCTGAAGATAGCGGTTGGGTGTCTTCTACCAATCATCATCCCTCTAGGGAATTCAAAGGGGTAAAAATGGGACAAACCCTAATAATTCCAAGTGGGATACAGTCCTGAAGGGTCCTCCTTGGTGACCCAACTGCCCAATCCACAGGCTGCAGACAGGAGAAACTCTCGGCAGGTTATCTTTTATGTACTCTCCCACTCTCTACCTTTCACATTCATACATCCTAGAAGATGAACAAGACCCTCAAATCCTGACCAGAAAAAACATCATGGGGTTGCATGAGTATAGTGATAATTAGAACAGTGAAAGGGGAAAAAAAAAGATACCTGGAAAATCGCTATGAATTCACTGGCCTTGTCAGAAAAGCCAAAACAGAGAAAAGAGGTTTCATAGAGAAAGTCCAATGGACAAGTATACATCAGAAACACCCAGAAGAAAATAGTTGCAATCAAGTCATTCCCAACTCATGGCTCCAGATGGATCAGAGTAGAACTGTGCTCCATAGGATTTCCAATGGTTGATTTTTCTCAGAAGAAGATAGCCAGGTCTTTCTTCCAAGGCACCTTTTACTGGATTTACTGAACCTCCAACCTTTCAGTAGGCAGTCTGTACCACCCAGCAACCCCAAATCACCTGGAAGACATGTTAATACAGAAACTCAGAGTTTCTGATCAGCAGCTGCTGGTGCAGGCAGGGACCACACTCCACTGGGGCAACTTCAGGTCCGGATTCCATCATGCCTTTATGCTACTCCACCTCTATCCCGAAATCAAGTCTTAAAACTCCCAAAAGGAATTAAACAGAATTTCCTTCCGCTCCCCTTGTTCCATTCATACTCCCAAACTGCCATGGATGGAAAAGAACCATTACCAAGCTGTTCCTGAGTCTAGCTCCACTGGCATACAAGATGATTTTGCAGGAGGGAGTTAGGATGCAAAACAGAGGACACAGTTACGCAAGAAGAGTGTTCAAATGCTCCTCTGGCCCAGTGTATGTCCCCTTTCTCTCAGCGACAAGAACATGCCATGGAAACGTTCTGACCTGCTTTTCTCCTAGCTAATTTATCATGGGGTCTTGTCACAAAGCACAGTGATTCCCCACCATGTTACCAAACTGCCACCCTACCAGCCTCCCCAACAACACAGGGCTAAGCAAAACACCAAGTAACGAACGACAGCGTAGTGTCCCTCTGGTGAGGGTCAGGGCAAAATCAAGACCAGGATCCAAGAATTCCTGGACTGGAGGGGACCGTTAAAATAGTTCTTTCCTTCCAAAAGCTGATTACATTAAAGTTTACAGTATACTATCTGACCCACAGCAGAGTTACTGCTACAATGATATTGTTCTGTTCTACAGGGGGTTAGCGGAAGTTCCTACGGAGAACTGTGTGTGAATAACGACCACACTGTGATGACAGCCCATCCTGTGATTCTCTGCTCCTTGGATTCAAATAGGGAAAGCTAGCAATGCACACACACACACACACACACACACACACGTCAGCTTGGCCTTTCCTGGCAGTGGGACAGGAGCGGTCACACAGATTTTGGGTAGCAATTGTGGGACTTAAAATCAATCTCAGGTGAAAGAAGGAAAAAGGCTGAAGAGTGATTCGTTCATAGTATTTTGGTAAATATAAACAGTGCATGTGTCAGCAAATACCTGGTCTTCAAGACGGTTTCGTGAACACAGATATGCATATCTGATGGAGCAAATACGTTTTCCCTTCCATATACAAACTCTAAGAGTTCCCCAGACTCAGAGTGTCCAGTGAGGTATTGTAAGTCAAATAACATTCAACAAAGCAGAAACACTGACACAGAAAAACCAATTGCCATTGAGCCGACTTCAACTCATGGTGACCCCATGGGTGTCAGAGTAGAACTGTGCTCCACAGGGTTTTTAATGGTTATTTTTTCAGAAGATCACCAGGTCTTTCTTCCGAGGCATCTCATGGTGGACTTGAACCTCCAACCTTTCAGTTAACAGCCCAGCGCATTAACAATTTGCACCAAAATGATGAATTCATCTCAGATATATTCCATTCAAGTCATGGGTCATAAGCCCAGACAGCTATATTCTGAAAGCTCTGCAACAGAAGGCGACCCCCAGTCTCAGGTGACATTATTGTCAGGAACCTCAAGAACACTGATGAAATATTCTTGCCCACCCCTCTATCCCCAAAATTCCACTCAAATACATCCCTAGATAAAATCAAGCAGTGCCAGGGCTGCCTTCACACTCAAAACCTTGGTGACCCTTGTGCTTACCTGTTTTCCAGGAGTGTCATGCATACCACCTCTCGTACCCCTGGGTTGTTGGCCTTCTCCACGGAGCAGCCTTGCAAGTTCCAGGTGGCGAGTCTCAGCACAGGCCGCCCATCCCTTGTACCTCCAAAGACTTCCACTGAGGGCCGAGTGGAGATGATCTGGGTGGGGCCCCCTGGCGGCAGGTCAAGGTCTTCACTCTGTAGGCTCAGTGAGGTGGGGCTGGGGTGGGGCTTGGCTGTAAAGGTCAGGCCCCCATTGGTGTGGGTGGAGGGGGGCCTGGACCTCTCGGCAAACACCTGGTGCCGAATCTTGTCCAGGAAGGAGGCATTGATACCGTTCATCCTCACTAGGTCCTCCACGCTGCGAAAGGGCCCGTGATCCCGGCGGTAGTCCACGATGCTGAGGGCCATCTTCTCAGTGAGGCCTCGCACACTCATAAGCTGAGCTGGGGTGGCTGTGTTGATATTGACACGTGGGGTGAGGGGCACCGTGGTGGCTAGGTGGTAAGGTTGCTGCTCAGTTACCAGGTCCCGCCGCAGGGAGCTGGGAGAATGCTGGGCAGAGCTGCCCTTGCTGCTCACACAGATCTCAAACTTGACCTGCTCGAGCTTGGTGGCACCCACACCGCTGACCAGGGCTAAGTCCTCTACCTTCTTGAAGCCTCCGATATACTCTCGGTACTCCACAATGCTGCGGGCCACAACACGTGTCACGCCTGGCAAGGTCATCAGCTCCTCCTCGGTGGCTGTGTTGATGTTGAGCCGCTCCTGGTTCACCAGGATGTTGCTGAAGTTGCAGGCTGCACTGAACTTGCGGTTATGAGACAGGTCTGAGGGGTCCCTGGGGATGGAGCGGTGGCAGCCCAGGGTGCTCCCCATGGCAGGCCAGGAGCAGGGGCCAAGGAAGGCCTCACCTCCACAGAACTTTCTGGCCAGGGAGCTCACTTAAAAGAAGAATGGAAGATTCAGGATTCAGAGGCTAAAGCAGCTACCAACGTCAAAGACCAAATCTTTCATGCCCAATGTCAAAAAGTACCTTTGACTTGGCAACCTGCAATCAATAAGCACACAGATCGACTCAATTAGTTAATCAATTTGCATTAGCACTCTCTATCTAGAGCTGGGGACTCCGTAGGATGAGCACCCAATCGAAAGGTCAGTTTGAACTGCAAGGTCAGCAGTTCAAACTCACCAGCCGACTCGTAGGTACTTAACAAAAACAATCTAGAGGGGGAGTTCTCAACCAGGATTCCCGAGCTGGTGGCTGTCCCTGAACACCTGAAAATGCACACACAGAGGCTGGCCATGTGAATTCTCAGGAGAGGTCCTGGTTTCATCGCACTGGAGTCCAAAAAGGTTAAGAAGCCATTCTGTTGGAAAGAGACCTATCATTCAATAGCCCAACGTCTCTACGATCCCCCTATCTACTCTGGCAGGGATCGTGCCATCTCGCCCCTACACTGGTCCCAACCCGGTCTCAGTTAAAAGGAGGGCGCACCCCCACCTCCGCGCCAGAGACTCAATGCCACCTGCAATTTGTGAGCTCCGTCCTCCCTGATGTGCGCGCTAAGAAAGGGTTTATCGACCCTAGACCGACCGACCGATCGTCCTCCGGCACCCGCACCCACCTCTCAGCCGCGCTTCCTGGGCGTCAGTCCCTCGTCCACCTGCGGCGCCGCCGAAGCCCGAGCCCAGCCCGGGACAGTCCGGGTCCCTGCCTTCAGCTCTGACACCACCCGGGTGGAGGTCAGTGGCCGGGAGCCTCGCTCCCACGAGAGAAACTCTCAGCTTCGTTCTCCTAGAGCCCGCAGGAGCTGCCCGGCTGCCCGGAGGCGGCGACAACAGAGGCAAAATCCCGACGCCTCGGCTGTACCAAGACTCGCGGCGTCGCTGCAGTTGCGTTTATCCAGGCAAAAAGTCCTGCGCGCAACTCAGATGCCGGCTCCGGCAGAGCCCTGTCCAGTCACCAGCAGCAGCGCCACCGCTCCCGCTCGCAGTCGGTGTCAAACCGAAGTCCTGGCGGTGCCACCCGCGCCTCCGCCGGCGCCGCGGCCACACCTCCTCCCGCCCCGCAACCCCTCCCCCGGGCTCCTGGGGGCACGTGGGGGCGGGGAGAGCGGAACCCCAGGGAGCGGAGGCGGGGCGGGTCCAGAGTGTGAGAGGCGGGGCATGAATCGCAAGGGGCGGGGCGGGGGACGGGCTGTGCAGATTGGAACCCGGGAGCGCGGGGCCGGGCCAGGGAGCACGGGGGCGAGGAGAGGACTGGGACAGCGAGAGACGGGGTTGTGGGGTGCGGGTGCGGGTGCGGGGCCGAGAGCTTAGAGGTGGAGAGCGGAATCCCAGAGCGCTGGGGTGAGGCCTGAGCGAACTAGACATCGGGTTATATGGAGATTGGGCTCCAGCGCTTGGCAGTCGGGGCAGGCCCTGGACCTGGGGCTGGAGCATCGGGAACTGGGCCAGAGAGTACTGGGGCAAAGGCGGGACGGGGGCGAGAATGTAGAGGCGGAGCTAGGGACCGTAGAAGCAGGCCGACGGCGCGGGGACAGACGCAGGTATTGAGAAGCTGGTCCTCAGGTCTCCCTTTCGAGCCCGCATTGCGGCCGGCGACCCTGCGCGCCCACCCAGCGAAGGTTGCACTGGATAGAGGCTGTTCAGCATCTTCCAGGGTGAGAGCTGCCGGGCTGCTTTTCGGCGGGCAGAGCCTTGCAGGAGAGAGAGGTGCATCGGAGGACGCGCGCGTCTAGCCTGTTTGGGGGCGCTCGAGGACGAGGGCCGAGTCTCTCCAGTGGGGAAGGCCCCCTGTGGGTCCGGACCTCCTCGCTCACTTCTGCAGTCTCAAGTTTGTTAGGGAAGGGAGCAAGCACAAACCAAAGTCAAACTGAGAACGTTCGAGAGGAGACTTGAACTTCATTGATTTCGACCTGGTTTCTTCCACTAGCGAGTTTCCTTTGTTGTGCACTCTGGAGAGATGTTCTCACACACCACCAGCAACTCGTGCTATTTATACATGGACCCACACATGCCATTTACAGTGTCGTTCATGTGTACATTTAGCAATATGAGTTTAGATGGATCTTGTATGCCATGCAGGTGGTTCAGACCTTTACGGGAGCAAAAAGCCTCATTGTTCTCTGAGGAGCTGCTGTTGGATTCGAACTGCTGATCAAGCAACCCAGCCCAGAACATCATTCCACTATGTGGATGTGCTTCCTTATTTAATCATTAAAAAGAAGGAAATGCTAGTTTGAAATGGAGTCTGCTTCTCAAAACTCTTCATTGTTTTTGGATCACGGTGCTATATGACAATGTAATTTAAGGTTACAGAGCCTGTTGCAATACAGTGGATATACTGAGGATTTGATTAAACAAGCCATGTGAGGTTACCTAACTTCAATCCTGATTTAGTATCCTCCTCTGAGGTTTCATCCTAAACTAATTTGACTGCTTCTGCTTTAAATTACAGGGACTAGGTCAGCAAAAAAGGCAACTCGGAGAAGGCAGAAAATACTGCCTTTCTGAGGCTTGTTCCCCCTCTATGTGCCAATGACCCTCTTGATTGCAAGTGACAGTCACCCAAGTCAACTTATCTTAAACAACAACTACAAAAGGAATTTCCTGATTCTCCTGTGAAAAAGTCAAGGAACAGATTTGTCTCTAGCCAGGCTACATCCAAGGGCTCAGATGATGTCAGCGGGACACAGCTGACTCCTTCATCTCTTGGCCTTGCTGGCTTTTGGCTTCGTTTTCAGGCAAGTTTTCCTTCTTTAGTAGCAATACTCATCTGTCTACCACTAGGCTATATCACACCACCCCTTTCTTCCTTTAAGGAGCCCTGGTGGTGTAGTGGCTTACATGTTGGGCTGCTAACCTCAAGATCAATGTTCGAATCCACCCTTTCTGCTCTTGAAAAGATTTACAACCTTGGAAACCTTACATCGGGTCACTATGAGTCACAATTGACTCGATGGCTGTGGATTCCCTCCTTTAGTCCTACTGTGGTAAAGGAAACACTTGATAAGTTTTTATGGCTATGGAAGGACAGTTCAAACCCACCAGCTGCTCCTCAGAAATCCTGTACAGAGTCATTATGAATCAGAACCGAGTTGACAGTGCCTAACAACAATATTGTTGTTAAGTGCCGTCGAGTCGATTCCCACCCATAGCAGCCCTGTATAGGGTTTCCAAGGAGCAGCTGGTGAGCTTGAACCACTGACTTTGCAGTCCAAATGACTTTGCAATCTGACGCATTAGCCCACAGCACCACACCAGAACTCCACAACATACCACCCAACAATTCCACCCCTAAGTATTTACCCCAAAGAAATGAAAGCATATATCCATCCAAGGAGCTTTACATGGAAAAGCCGACAACTAGAAACACCCCCAATCTATCAATGGATGAATATGCAAATTATGGTCTATCCATACAATGGAATGGAGACCTCTTCTGGTGTTATAGAAGGTCAATGGTTCAAACTCACCAGCAACTCCTCAGAAACCCTATACAGGGTTGCATTGAATCCGAGTGGCACTTCACAACAACAACATACAATGGAATACTGCTAAGCAGTAAAGACTGTGCAAATTAGGGTATATCCATACAAGCAATATTATAACAAGCAATAAAGATATAGTGGTGTGGCTCTGTGGGCTAATGCGCCAGACTGCAAAGCCATTTGAACTGCAAGGTCGGCGGTTGAAGCTCATCAGCTGCTCCTCAGAAACCCTATACAGGGTTGCTATAGATCAGAATCGACTAGACGGCACTTAACAACAACAACACTGATATATGCAGTATCATGGAGGAAGCTCAGTCATCACACAGAATGAAAGAAGCCATTTGAAAGAAGAGTACATTCCATTATTTAAACTGTAGAAAATACAGGCTATTTAGAGAGAAGATGGACTAGCAATTGCCTGGGAATGATGGTGGAAGGAGGAGCAGGAACTAGGAAATACTGGAACTAGGGACTAGATTAGAGGAGGCGCATCAGTGTGAAGAGAAGGAATTTCAAGGTAAGTTACCGAGTCAATTCCACCTCACAGTGACCCTAGAGGATTACTATGGTTTCCAAGACTGTAAATCTTTATGGGAGCAAACAGCCTCCTCATTCTCATCATTCAGTTGGTGGGTTTGAACTCCTGGCCTTGTAGTTAGAAATCCAATGATTAACCCACAAACCACCAGAGATCCTTGAAGGGAAGTAGAGTAGCCCAAATAGAAGTTGAGTCTGGAGTAGCTAACAGAAGAGAACTCCTTAGGGGAAATATGGCAACAGAGCTGAATCTCTCCAAGTCGATTAAGGGTAATGAGACGGGAACAACTCAAAGAAATATCAGAATCTGGAGTGACCCAGGGAAGTATCTGACTTTCAAGGATCCATAGCAAGATTGGGAAATTTGCTAAGGGACCTATTATACAGGAGATGGGGACTTGAGCCTATTTGACTCTTGAGGGATATTTAGGGCTCCACTGAACACCTAAGTTACATGAATGTGTCAAAGGACACATGGTTTCAAAATCCAGTGCTGCCCTTGTGTCCACTGCTCCTGACCACATAGCTGTAACCTAGGGCTTAGGTCAGGATAGACTCAGGTCATTGGCCTTTTGCTTCCTAATCAGCAAATTCAAAAATAAAAGATATTCATGGAGAGGGATGGCTTGTAGAAGGTAAGAAGGGAAAGCAGTTTTAAATTTTCGATATCTGCAGTCCATGATGCAGGCACTATAGATACCGTGATGAGCAAGATCCCTAATTCCTCTCTTCGCAGAGCTGTAGATGAGCAGGAATACAGACATTAAATCAGTAAGAGCTGTGCATTTAAAACATGGTGGGAGGGGGGTGAACAGAGGTTATTGCTGTGAATTAAAAATAATG